CGGAATCCACTGGCTCCGAGGTCCTTGGCAGATCTGCAGCTTAGAGGCCTCTGGGGGGATGGTGCCTGTTGACCCCATGTTCCCGTGGTGCCAGGCTCAGCTTGTGGCCAGCAGAGAACTGGCCGCCTCTTGTTATTTTCCTGGAGACATAGGACCAGCCAGTCCCGCACTCGAGGAGAACAAGCCTGCCCTCAGGGAATCCTGACATTGTGAGGGGAACTGCCCTTCCCAGAGTTGAAAAGAGCCCCTCCCTATTCCAGCTTCCAGAGAAAGCTGAAAAGCTGAGGTTGGAGCTGTCATGGCAACCGGCCCATTGCTGAGGCCTGGCCCGGCTCAGCACGTCCAGCTGGGCTCCACGTGGCCAAGTGGGAAGGTCATGACCCCTGCTGGACCACCCCCAGGGTGCTCACAGCTCACCTGTGGGTTGTAGGGTCCAGGTTAAACACACTCTTCAAAAATGCGATGTCATGAGACAAAATAAGGGAGGTTCTAAAGTAAGAGAAACTTTAGTCATGATGAACAATTGCAATGTGTAATCTTGGTTACTTTCTGGCCAAGAAAAATGTTTGGGGACAGCTGGGGGAAATATAAACATGAACTTGTGGAGGGAGTGTTAGATTCCGTGTGACATCGATTGTGATAGGATAGTAAGAGGCTGGGAAAATTCCTGAGCAGGTGGAATGCAAAACTGAGACAAGAGAATTAAACAAGACCAAACAGGTGGAGCAGCTTACAGCCAACTGGTAAATCACAAGAACTTCTCTCCCCTACCCAAGGACACTCGAGAGTGAATGGTTTCTACCTCTCCTCCCTGACCAGAGAATAATGGCTTAAATCTCCCTGGCCTGGGAGACAGAGAACAGAAACCCAATTAATGTCATGTGTGCCAGCTGAACCAAGGACAGATGAAGTGAGGGGAGCTGCGGCAGATCCTGGCTGGCAGGATCCATGTATGTTGTGGCTGCTCGTGAACAAACACACACGGACAATGGAAGTCCTGTGGAGAAAAAGGGACGGCATGGCTGCTCTCTGAGAGAGAGAGGGCGAGAGGGCCAGAGAGCCCAGTCCCTGCCTGGACAAGCTTTTATTGCTTCTCTGGGTACATTACATGGAGGATGTTCCTCTTTACTATGCACAGGTTCACTGCAGGGCACTACCTTTTACAGATAACAAAGGAAAGAATGTTGCTAATTACTTCAAAGAGAAGGATGTTGCAAATCAAGGGGAAAAGTGGTTGAATGGTCACACTCCATACTTGGGAGGTTTAACTCAGATTTTAAGAAGTTACAGTAAGCCCTTGTGCCTCAATTCTGGGTGAGGGAGTTTTAGCAAAAGCAAGTCTCATAGAAGTATAGGTACAATGCAGGCCTGATTCCCCATGGGAGAACCTCTCCGTGGGCATGGTCCTGTGTGCTGACACGCACCCCACTGGTTTTTCACGTGAGTGCTGAGCTACATTTCCACGCCATATGAAGTGGTTCCCTACAGGGAACAAATCACAAAAACCCCGTTAAAAGCCAGACAGACCCAAGATGAAAATAAAAAGCACAGCAAAGAATATCCCCCCTCCCCATCAGCTCATTCTGATGCATCAGCATATTAAAAATGCACCTGGGAAAATATTCTGTGGAAACCTGCCCCTAAGATTCTCACCTGCAGAAAAAGACAGAAAGCCCTCAGGACAGACACAGTACAGGCTCACCCACTAGAGCACGCCCCTGCCCCTTCTCAGGCACGAGCTTTTTACTTCCTCCTTAACTCTAAGGGTCCCAAGGAGGCTTGCAGCCAGGGAAGCGGTGGGCAGTGGCAGCTTGAGGCAGGTTGACCCCTGATCCTGTCCCCAGGCCCCCTTTTCCCTAACTTCCCAGTGAGCTGACAGCAGCCTTGCCTCAGCTCACTCCTTTCCTGTAACTTTTCTAGGGAGCCACAGCAGAGCACTGCTCAGGATCTCTCTCTCTCTCCTGTTGCTTCTTCTACCCTGAGTCCTTCCTTTGTTTCACTCTCCCCAGCCTTAATAAAAATACTCCCCAAATCACCCGGACCCGTGTCATGAATCTTCCCTATGCAAAGTCAGGAATGCACATGCTGCTGCTGGCCCTCGGCAGACCCACTCAGGGCCAGGCGCCTGTCTGGCAACACAATGATGTGCTTATAGAGGTCACTCCTTGGCGATGTTGGCCCACTTTCTTGTCCATCATGGACTCTGAGACGGTTCAGTTGGAAAGAACATGTGGACCAGGTGCGCAGCAGCAGTCCCCTCGAGGTGACAGTCTGTGGGTGTTTGCATTCAGTGTGTGCCCCCCTGTGTGTCCAGAAAGGCTAAGGCCGAGGCCACCGGGTCTGGCAGGAACCTCTCCAGCATGGACCTCCGGGATGTCCTGCAAAGGAAAACCCCTTCTGCTCTGTGGTTTTCCAACCGGAGGGAATTCAAGGCAGCAAATACTAAACTGAGGGCCATGCTGTGTGGAGGGCTCCTGCGAATGGCTGCAGGTCTTTGGACCAGCTCACGTGGGCTGGTGAAATGCAGGAGCTGATTCAGTGGCTCTAGGGGCAGGGAGGCTGAGATTCTGCATCCCCGACTGGCTCTGGAGGTGCTGGCCAGGGTGCAAACTTGGAGAAGCTAACCCACAGCCCGATGGGGCCAGGAGTTGGTGGGGTAGGAGTAGGTCAGAACCTGGCCTTTGCAGACCCAGGGAACTGGGACCAGACTCCTGCTCAGGCACCTATGAGCCATGAGGTCAGGGCAAAGGCCTGGCTTCTCCAAGTCTTGTTGACTCAGCTGTGGACAGGGAGTCATCAAATCTCCTTTCTGGGAAGCTGTGAGGCCACCTGCAAATTACAGAGCCTGGCAGAAGAGAAGCACTTCCCCCCCGCCACCCCCTCAGAGGAGCTCTGTCACCTCTGTCACCTCTTCACCTCCAAGAGAATGGAGAGAGACATGGGCTTTTGCTCTGGGTTGCAGGGTTCCCCTGTCTTAGATTTGGAAGGTGCATCCTCCATAGCCCTGCACTGGCCTTGGAGCCCTGCCTGCCTGCACTCCCTCCATAGCTATGGGAGCTTGAGAGTGAATGTTTCCCTTTGGCTGTTGGGTCTACATGGACCAGCTCTTCCCCTCCAGGGAGCAGGGAGCTTCCCCTCCAGGGGGTGGGGAACTGCCACTCAGCTGCTGAGCCACTGAAGCAGTTCTGCAAGGGAGAACTGGAGTGTGTGGGTGCAGCCCGCTCCAATGCCACCTCACAGCCTCTCACCGATCTTACTCAGCCTCTGTAGATTTAATGGAATAAATGCCACTTGGTCTGTTGCAGCCTTTTGATCCATCTCTAGAGACTCTGAATGGCTGTCTTTGCTCATTCTGACCAGCACAGCAGATCCTGGGAACATCTGGATTCCCCGGTCTCCTCACACTCCCACCTAGGGGTGCCTATGGTTCCCTCTGGGTGCAACCTTCTCCCCAGATACCCATGTGGCTCACTTTTTAACCTCTTCAGTGTCTGCCTTCTTGTAAACAAACAGCCCTTGCCATCAGTCCAATTAGTTAGGACTGCTGTCCATAAGCAGTCCATAAGCCTTGGACTGCTCCTTGCCAGCAGTCCATAAGCCCTGGCCGGGTAGCACAAATGGTTGGAGCATCGTCCTGATATGCCAAGGTTGCAGGTTTGATCCCCGGTCAGAGCACATACAAGAATCAACCAAGGAGTGCATCAGTAAGTGGAACAACAATTCAATGCTTCTCTCTCTGAAATCAATTAATAAAAGCATTTTAAAATATTTAAAAAGTATTTAAAAAGCATAAAAATATGGATTCCATGTAATACTCTTTCCAAAACTTAATAAAACCAGCAACTGCTTACGCATATACTTCTTTGTGCTTGCAGCCCAGTAAACACTTGCGCCAACACGCCCCTGGTTTTGCTCTCCCACCTGGAGCTCCTGCCCCCTGCTGACAAGTACACTTCCACCTGCTTGTCATCCCCACCAGGCCAGGCACAGCTTTTGTCTGCAGCACGCCACCCAGGACAGCACCGGGTGCGGCAGGTGTGCAGCATCTGCTGGGTGATGTCCAGGACACACTGTTGGGGTCCACAGGGAGCGGCAGCCCCTGGGAACCTGTCTTCTCGGGAGGGTGGGTCCTGTCACCCACCAAACTGTTCTCTGCCGAGCACCATGTGAGCCCGTGTGGGGTGGCTGAGTGTTGTGGGGTTGAAGGGAGCTGAAGGCTGTGCCTCTGGGATGAGAAGGTTCGGGATGGCGGTGCCCATGCTGGTGGGGGGGGCAGGGGTCAGCCGAAGGCTTAGAATTGCAGGTGCACACATGGTGAGAAATCTTGGTGATGGTCACCCCAAAAAATGCTGTTGCAAGTGTGACCTTAGGCTTGCGGAGGGAGGGTGATGTGACCTCTGCCCTAACCCTGCTCCCTGATCTTAGGAGGAAGGTCCTGGTTGAGACTCTGCCCCTATTTGGGGGGGACAGAGAACAAGAGCCAGACAGAGGAGACAATCAAGCGTGGGGTCCCCAACGACAGTTGTGGGACTTTACACTCACCCCAAGGAGTGTTCTGATCCCACAGGCATGGGATGGACCCTCTGCTGATGCTGGAGCCACATGTGAGCTGAAACCTGAGTGCCCCTTGTTAGAGGCACGGGAGCCTACAGGTGCAAGGCGTATGATGGGGGGGAGGCCTCACGGGGATCTCAGTGTTCCGGTCATGCCCTTGACACCTGGTGGCGGCCACGCCTGTGGGATGCGCGGGCGAGCCCACCCAGGATGGCGGCCCCTGTGTGCCTGTCCTCACAGGCCCAGGGCTGGCAGTGAGTGCCTGCTTCTGCAACCCAGGAGGCTGCCCGGCAGCCCCGCGCTGGCTCTGCAGAGTGCACACAGGAGGGAGAGACAGGTGCCTGGGTGGTCTGTTTTCAGACCCTGCCAACCAGCACCTCCCACCCCGCTGCGCTGTGCTGGTCCCCGAGGTGGCACCCGCTGACAGTCAACATCCAACTCGAATCTGAGGGCAGACAGGCTTTTCTTTATTGAACTTGGTTTTGCTGAGTATTGATAAGCCCTGCGGATACTACTACAGACTGGCTGTAAACAAACAGTCCCTGCCAGCAGTCGCATAAATTCAGAGGAAACATACAAAAATCAGAAGATGGACTCAATTTCATAATCTTTCCCCTCACTAACAAGTGCTTCATACGCCCCCGTGTGCTTTCAGTTCAGTACAGGTTAAAAAGGACAATACATCGTAAAGTATGACACCAGGTCGTACAGACTGTGTTACAAAATACTGTTTAGATCACCAGCATCCAGTTAAATGATTTCCTTTTTTAGACTGCCAAGTCTGTTTGGCGATTTTCCCTAAGAAAATAACATGCATCAAGTAGAAAAAAGTTATTCTAAATAGTTTCTTTATGTGACACATTCTTCTGTGTATATGTACTGAGAATCTTTAAAAATTTTTTTTTCCTTTGTAGCCAAAATTTATAGAGATTAAAAATAAGTCACAGTCAAGCTACTGGACTTACCCACAAAATGGAGTAAGTGAGGGCGGATTCAGAGAAGGACGGATGTGACCCAGGACCCACGGCCTCCAGATCCAAGTTGACAGGCAGGTGGCGCATTTCCCTGCCGACGCCTCCGAAGACAGAGGTCGTGCAGAAGCCGAGAGGAGAGACTCCCACAGGCACCCCGAGAACAAATGCACCACCTACATGTGAGAATGTCTTGCTACGGCTTAACACCGTTGGGTTATGTGGTCCGTTTGGCTCTAAGACCTATGTTTGAAGCTAAAATAAAAGTTGTTAGAAAAATAATGTGACCAAGGATGAATTTCTTTTTAAGTTTAAAACACTGGGCCACTCAAACCTTATCTTTTCACACTTCAGTTATGGCTCCGATGGGATCTGGCACGACAGCAAATGCAGCGCATGGGAGCCACGCAGCCGCGACACCGTAGTCTCCGTCTCCCACACGGACGGGGTTTCCATTACAGAGACACGCCCACACCACCGCAAAGCTGTTTCTTTTTCTCCCGGCCTGCGACGACACTTTGTCACAGAGCAGGCAAGGGACAGTTCCCCTTCCTTCGCGGGCAAGTCAGCCCACCTCCAGAGTGCAGATGAAGCCCACCCTGGTTCTGTGATCACGGAAACCACAGTCAGCTGGATGATGTGATCTCGGACAGCTGCCCTTCACTTGAAGCCACTGCCGGAGCCACTGAGGACACGCTGGGGCCCTTGGCTGGGAAGTAGCAAAAGGGGCTGGCCTTGGTTTTGGTGAGAAACTGGGGCTCTGGCTTGGGGGGTGGGGGACTTTCACTCCTGGGAGGCCTGAGATCCAGGAACAGAGAGCAGGCTGGGAAGTGCTGGGCACCGGAGGGGAAAACCGAGTCCCCAGGTATGACTCCTCCTTCAGGTCTGCACTTTGTCATCGTGCAAACTCAAGAGAGAGCCAGCGACCAGGGGCTTTCCCGAGGTGACCACCGATTTCCGAGTCAGCATCCCATCCCTCTCTCAGGCTCAGGGCAGACCCAGCTTCTCCAAACAAGGTCAAAGATCAAGTGAGGCTGCTTGAAGTTCATTTGCTTCCCCAATTCAAGTCGGTGTGCCTTCCCTGCAACCCTACCCCAATTTTTTGTGATTAACTAAAATCAGACTTTATAAAAACCTGCAAGTGCAAGACTCAGTATTTCAGATACAAGGTAGCTATGAACAAATAAATATGCCCACGCAGTCCTGAAAGCTGCTCTGCCGCCTTCCAGTGGGGGCTGGGCTCTCCAGACGCTGCAGCCACCTCCCTGGAGAGCTGAGTTTTCCTTTGAGATGAAAGCTGCTCTGTGCCAGGTGATGCCAGGTGACACGGTGGCTGGTGCAGACACTTCCGTGTACAGAGCGGCTGGCGCACGGCGACCTGGGCTGGCGAGCGGGCCGGTGGTGCTCTCCTGGTGAGGACACTGGGTTGGCTGAGAGGTAGGGTCACAGGGCAGGACACGGGCCACAGGGCTCTGCTCTCCCGCCCCCACTCGCTGGTCCACCCCCAGCTGAGCACATGTGGAAATGTGACTGCACTGTGGATCCAGTCCAACTCCGGGCTGTCCCCGTGCCCATGGTGCCCACTCGCAGTGACGGTCAACACGCTCTTGGCTCCCATGCTCTTGGCTCCCACGCCCATGGAGGCACTGAGTGAACCCAAATGTGGGATACTGGGGAGCTGCAGCACGGATGATGTATGTAGCAAAAGCTTCAACCAAGGCGCCCACAGCAGCATCACAGCTCACACTCGGACCCTCGGACACACAACTCATAAAGCAATAGAAAACACCCCACCTATAAAGTTATAATTTATAGAGTATTCTGTACAAAAGCAGTCTTTACTAATAAGACTCTCCTACTCTCCTAGAAGAAGTCCATAGCCGTCGGTCTTCTCTTTGGTGTGGCGGTCAGTGGCTTCTTGGTCCCCAGGGGAGTACTGGCGGGGGAGCTGGTGGGGGTCTTCAGCACTCCATGGAGGGGCCTCTGCTCAGGGTTGAAGGCCACTCGGGAGGCACCCGTGGGACTGACTAAGATGCTCTTGTCTGTCTTCTTGAATTCTGCCCAATGAAAGCAAGGCCACATGTTACTGGGTATGACTTCTCTGTCCTGCCTCTGTGCTGTTCCCCCAGCTGGGGGCCTGCCCGCTCACTTCTGGGCAGGGAACCAGCCCTAAGGGCCGCCTGGATAGACCCTGAGGGGAGCACCTGGAGGGCAGGGCTGTTTCTGGGACGTGGGCAGTGAGTGAACCCGAGGTTGATGAAGAGCTGCAGGAGGAGTCGTTCCTTCTGTGACCTATTCCTCCCACCACCTCCAGCGGTGCAGACATGACCGGGGACGAGGGCAGGGTGGCGGTGTGTGTGTGTGTGTGGGGCGGGGCATTGCCCAGGTCTCTCCTGTGCCTCTGTGTGTGTGTCCCCACGCGCGCGCGCGCGCACACACACACACACACACACACACACACACACACAGAGGTACTTGTCCCTATAGAGAGCCAGGTCTTAAACTCATATACTTTTAAATGCATTGGCTTCCTTTGGAAAAAAACTAACACAAATGAATCCTGCCAAAGGTAAAAGCTGAAAGACAAGATATTCCTTTCCCCCTTCTTTTGGGCAGGGAGGTTCTGAATTTAAGTAGAGGTGGCTACTGCCAACAGACCGTTAAATCTCAAGCCAAGACAACTAATGCATTCTAGGCAGGTGGGCATGGGAAGATGGCCATTCATGTCACCTACCAGGTAACCACTGTCCAGAGGCCCCAGAAATCTACACACACCAAGCCCCCAGGCCCCTCGCCCCCACTCCCCACACCGCCCTTGGATGAAAGCTGGGCCCAGCCAGGGACTGAACCTGCCTCTGGACAGGGTCAGGGCCGTCCGCCCAGGGGCGGACCACGAGTGCAAGCACACCCCGCACTCACCCGCAGTCATGTTTCTGTTCAACCCGAAGGTGACCTTCTTGGAGCTGGATGGTGTTTTGTTGAGCTGCAGAAGAAAGAAAACCGTAACAGAGGTAAGAGGGAGGCACAGTGACCGAGGTGCCTCGTGTGTGGAGAGTTCCCGAGCACTCACAGGTGCCCACCAGCCGCCGGGAGCACACGGCACGGAGCCCAGGGGCCTGCGTCCACCTCCATCACCAGGACCTCGCTGCACACACCCACCCTGGGCCCGAGCTGCACGCGGTGCTTCTGCGAGCACACACGACGGGTCTGTGAGGTGGGCGGGGCCAGCGCCACTTCGCAGTAACCCCCTTCACCGCTGGCTCCAGCCTCTGCCTTCCAGGGAAGAAGGCAGCACAAAACTGCCATGTTTGAAACCTCCTAAGTAACAGAAGGGTCACCATTGAAAAATGATAGAGAGCACCCATTTCCAGTGTCCAATTTCAGCTTTCACTTGGAAATGAAACGGGTGACGTCACACCCACAATGGGACAGAGCTTCCACGGACAATGGAGCCACACTTGCCCGCTTTCCGTGCACAGGGTTCCAAACGGATTTGAATGTTCTAACTACTCATCAAAACTGACTAAGTTGAGCCCCAACTGGTGTGGCTCAGTGGGTTGGAGCACTGTCCCATAAGCTGAAAGGTCAAGGGCTGGATTCCCGGTTAGGGCACATGCCTGGGTTTTGGGTTCGCTCCCCAGTCCGGGCGCCTGGGAGAGGAAACCGACTGATGTTTCTCTCTCTCCATCCCTTCCCTCTTCTCTAAAATTGATAAGGATGTCCTCAGGTGACGATGAAAAAAAATAACCATCTCATATTTTAAAAATGTCTGGAAGCTGACCCATTTTGCGTATGTAGCACTTTCTCAGATTCCTTCCTGGAACCCACAGTTCTGTGAGAATCCCCTAGTCCCACCTCACACCCTTTTTGCATCAACATTACCATTTTATGAGCAGAACCTGACGCCTGTAAGCCCGGAGTCACTCACAGACATCCCTGAGGCATCCTGGGCAGCAATGTGAACACAGGCAGGAGTCAGTCTGCGGGCTCAAGGCCGCGGAAACAGCGCCTGCTCATGTCTCCCCAGCAGGGCCGGCCCGGGACCTGTGCCCACTGCTCCACCAAGACCTCCATCTCCTGGAGGCAACCCCAGATGAGCCTCCGGCATATGCTGGTCTGCACCTGGTCCCACTTCTTGGTGGTGGTTGGCGGAGGTGACCCTTTCCTTCATGGCCTCTTCCTGGCTTCCCAGAACAGGGCCCACTCTCGCCCACCATGGCTGGGGCACTGCACCCGCTCCTCCTACCAGCCTGAACACCCACTAGTGTCCTTGGCAGGAACCTCTGATGGGGGACTCAAGGGTTGGAAAGTTTAGTTTTAGGTAATAGTTAATAAGCCAATAGTTAACACATGGTAAAAGCTATCGTTCCAGGAACTGGAGGCAGGACTCCAGGAGACCGCAAGCAATTGACCTTTGTGCCCCAGAGGGGACTGCGAGCAGTCAGGGTGGTGTGTGAGCCACTGTGTTCCAGGGAGAGACAGTCGGCTGCCCAGGACACAGATACAGAAAACTGCCCGGGACACAGGACACAGGACACAGATAGAAAATCACTGGTCAGTGAATGAAAGGATGTCAGAGAAACTGCTGGACTATGGCTTTTGTTGGATTGACCTCTTTCCTGAATTCCAAATCCCTTACCTACACTTTTTCCCCTTAAAAAAAGGCTGGCGTGAAAGGAAACATAAGATGAGTTCTTAGCACATACCTGCCATCTTCCCAGACCACTGCCCAGCTGAACAAACTGCCCACCAAGACTCCGTCCCTGTCTCTCCGAACACCAGCTTTTCCGGTTCCATCTCCTTCCCTCCACATCTGATCTGTAAACCTGGGGTTCTCTGGGGCTTCCTGCCACCTGCTTCCTACCTGGTTCTCAGCTCTCCCCTCTTCCATGAATTCTATGAGGCACCCCTGATCAGTCCCTCCAGGCGGCCCCAGAGCCAGGGCCTTGCACAGCCTGCACAGCAGACCCGGGCTCCCCAAACAGGAGCCTGTGTGCCGTGGACAGCAGCGGAGGCCCAGCACGCATGGCCCCTCTTGTGCGGTCTCAGAGCTTACCTGCATAGCAGGGGTCACCGAGGTGGCAGGGCTGCTCTTAGCTTTTCTGAAGAACAGGGGCTTTGGTAGGAAGGGGGTATCAAATTTCACAAAGTCATTCTCAGTCCTCAGCTTCTTCTTCAAAGGGCTGAAAGCTCCACTGCTCCCCTGTGTGAGGGAGGGGTTAGAAGACAGGGGAGGTCACACCCAGTGCCACCTGTGCCACCCCCCCACACACACAGGAAGGAAAAGTGGGACAAGGGGGTGCAGACACCACAGGATGGGGCGGGGGGGTGTGTGTGTGAGGGCACAGACAGCAAAGCAGCTCAGATGAGACCCATTTACTAGCTCAGAAACCTCACACCTCGCTCTTCCCACAGCCAGATTTGCAAACAGCCCTTTTTTGCTCAGCAGAGCAAAACTGCCACTTCACCAGGGCTCCCTGCCAGCAGGCCCAGAGGTTTCTCATCTTTTCAGCCACAAGAACCATTTTTATTTGTCTGCAAATTCAGTGCCGCACTTTGAAGATTTCTGCCTTTCAAAGACACCTCACTGTCACGCACAGCTTCAGGATGGGGATCCGTTCTGAGAAAGGTGCGGTTATGCAACTCCATCGTGCGCCCACAAGAGAGGCCCTGAGACACACCTACACGGCACAGCGCCCTGTGCACCTGGGCTCTGCGGTGCAGCCTCAGCTGAGGTGCAGCCTCTGCTTCGGCGCTGGCGCTACAGGCCCGTGCAGCACGCACTGGGCTACGTGCTGTAGGCAACTGACCTGAAGGTCGGCGCCGGTGGTCTGAACACAGAGAAGGGGCACATGATAAAGGGCCCTGTACGGGGCGTTTCCCACGGATGGAGCTCACAGGACTGGGAGGTGCTCTGGGCAGGTCAGGGGCTACGTGGGGAGTAAGTGTGAAAGCCTCGGACATCACTGCACACTTAGGCAACGCAAATTTATAAAACATGCTTGTCTTTCTTCAATAAATCAATCATAGCTTACTGTAACTTTTTTACTTTATAGACTTATTTTTGTAAATTTTATTTTAATTGTTGTTCAAGTACAGTTTTCTGCCTTTTATTCCATCCCAGCCCACCCCCCTAGACTTAATTTTTAAAAAAATCCTCACCCGAGTTTTTTACTGATTTGAGAGAGAGACAGAGGGGAAGAGAAATGTGTGTGCAAGAGGGAGAGAGAGGGGAGAGCAGCACTGATGTGAGAGAAACTCCTATCGACTGCCTCCCGCAGGTGCCTCAACCAGGGATCGAACCCACAACCTTTTGGTGTATGGGACAGCGATCCTATTAATTGAGCCACCTAGCCAGGGCTAAACATTTCTAACGCGGCTCTTGTAATAACACTTAGCTAAAAATGAAAACAATATATGGCTGTACAGAAATATATATTTTTTAATGACTTTTTAAAAAAATGTTTTAGTGATTATGCTATTACAGTTGTCCCATTTTCCCCCTTCACTCCCCTCTACCCTGCACACCTCCTCCCACTCACATCCCCCCCTTTAGTTCATATCCGTGTGTCATACTTACAAGTTCTTGGCTTCTACTTTTCCCTTACTATTACATTTCCCGTCTATTTTCTACCTACCATCTAGGCTACTTATTCTCTGTACCTTCTCCCCCTATCTCCCGCTCCCCCTCCCATTCCCATTGATAATCCTCCATGTGCTTTCCATTTCCGTTGTTCTGTTCCTGTTCCAGTTCTTTCCTTAGTTTTTGTTTCTGTTTTAGGAGTGGCTGGTAATTATTGTGAGTTTGCTGTAATTTTACTGTACAGATGTTTTTTTATCTTCTTTTTCTTAGATAATTCCCTTTAACATTTCATATAATAAGGGCTTGGTGATGATGAACTTTTTTAACTTGACCTTATCTGAGAAGCACTTTATCTGCCCTTCCATTCTAAATGACAGCTTTGCTGGATAGAGCAATCTTGGATGTAGGTCCTTGCCTTTCATGACTTGGAATACTTCTTTCCAGAACCTTCTTGCCTGTAAGGTCTCTTGAGAAATCAGCTGACAGTCCTATAGGCACTCCTTTGTAGGTAACTGTCTCCTTTTCTCTTGCTGCTTTTAAGATTCTTTCCTTCTCTTTAATCTTGCCTAATGTAATTATGATGTGCCTTGGTGTGTTCCTCCTTGGGTTCAACTTCTTTGGGACTCTGTGAGCTTCCTGGACTTCCTGAATGTCTATTTGCTTTGCCAGATTGGGGAAGTTCTCCTTCATTATGTTTTCAAATAAGTTTATTTTCAATTTCTTGCTCTTCCTCTTCCCCTTCTGGTACCCCTATAATTCGGATGTTGGAACATTTAAAGATGTCCTGGAGGTTCCTAAACCTCTCGTTTTTTGGAATTCTTGTTTCTTCATTCTTTTCTGATTAGATGTTTCTTTCTTCCTTCTGGTCTACTCCATTGATTTGAGTCCCAGTTTCCTTCCCATCACTATTGATCCCCTGTACTTAGCATAGCCTTCATTTTTTTCATCTAATTTGCAACCAAATTCAACCAATTCTGTGAGTATCCTGATTATGAGTGTCTTGAACTGTGAATCTGATAGATTGGCTAACTCTTTGTCCCTTAGTTCCTGGAGCTTTGATCTGTTCTTTTGTTTGGGCTTTTTTTTTTTTTTTTTTTCGTCTTGAGGCACCTGTTACATATGAGGGGCGGAGCCTTAGATGTTCACCAGGGCAGAGAAACCCAGTCCCTTGGCTGTGATGCTGTGAGGACAGGATTGGAGAGGGAACAATGGTGCTTGCTCCACTCTCTGCTGGATTTCAGTCCCTTCCACCACTTCCCCTAAGCAAATTGGGCCCTTCTGGTGCTGATTCCCAGTGGGTGGGCTTGTGTACATTCTAGGGCCCTGTGGGTCTCTCCAGTGAACTCCCCTGTGAGGCTGGGAGTCTCTTCCGGCACCTCAACCTCCACAGATGTTTTCGATCAGTGTTTTGAGGCTTTATTTCCCTGTCCTGGGACCTCGGGTTGCATGGTCCGTCTCACTCCCCAATTTCATCTGGTTTATCTGTGTGAATGTGGACCACACAACCCGCCAGCGGCCTTTTGTGCCCCGTGCCCCCCTCCGCAATCTGCCGCCTCCACAATCCACTGCCTCGCCAGGTCCGCCCACTGCCGCCTTGTGCGGTGCCCTGGGTCCGCCAGCCACCCAGCTGGGAGCCCTCTCCTCCAGCTGCTGGACTCCGCCCCTCCTACCGGCCTGGATGAATGTGTCTACTTTAACTCCTTGGTTGTCGGACTGCCATACAGTTCAATTTTCTGTCAGTTCTGGTTGTTTTTTGTTTTCAAATTGTTGTTGTCCTTCTTTTGGTTGTGCAAGGAGGCAGTGTGTCTGCCTATGCCTCCATCTTGGCTGGGAGTCCTGGTTGTACAGGAGTATTTTCTTTCCACATATCCTCATTCTACAGGCACTTTTCTATTACTTTTTTTTTCATTTTTGAAACCTTTTTGCAAACACACACATTAGCTTAGGCTGCACGGGGTCAGGACAATGCCACAATCCCCACCTCTACACCTTATCCCATAGGAAGGCCTCCACGGCAGTGATGCGCCTGGAGCTGCCACCTGCTACCGCAGCTGTGCCTGCCTCTGGAACAGCCCCCAGAGGACCTGCCTGGGGCGCTTCTCCAGGAGATGGCACGCTGCTCAGAAAGCAGCAGGACGGCTGTGATGTCTCGAGGCAACAGGAATCTTTCAGCTCTATCATGGCACTAGGGGACCGCTGTTGTACAGACCGTCTGCCAGTGACTGAATGTCACTATGAGGCATGTGACTTATTAAAGAGCTCACTTTTACATTTTTGATCAGAGACACCATTGCGCACAGAAGGTCTGGCATGAAAGCGTGGGTGTGGTCTCTGGCTTAGGCCCTGCAGGTCCGTTTAAGGCAGGCCACGAATGTCCTCTGGGCGCTCTACACTGGACAGCCTCCTGCCCAGAGACCCTGCCTGGGTTTTGGGACCTTAGGAGTCTGGGAAACCCAGTGTGGTCGACGTCACTCTGGTGCTCCTGGCCAGTCTCTGGTGACCCTGGCTTGGAAGTTGGCTGCGTTCCCTGAGCAGGACCCATGAGGGGCACACCCAGGGGTCCTCTCTCATGCACAGCCCCACTCCTGCTGGCAGAGATGCAGGGACACAGTGCCCCCTTTGGGAGGGAAAACCACCGATAATCCTATCGCTATTTTGCAACTGTCCCAATTCTAAGAGCAGGTGCAGGGGCCTGAGAAACGGGACGTGAAGAAGAGATTTTCTGACACTCTTAGTGAAGAAAGAGCACTAAGTGAGTGGTGAGTGCAGGATGGAGGCTGCAGAGCCGAGAAGGTGACACAGCTCATCAGGTGAAGGTCCGGGGTGACGGTGGACTCCTGCAGTCCAGGTGAGTGTTCTGTTTTCCCCAGTGGGGACTTCCACTGACCAGAAACTCACTCACTCATGCTCACCCCGTTGGAGAGGCCTGGACATCACAACCGCGGCGCTGTAGTGAGCGCAAACCAGGCACTGTGCTGGGGCGGCGAGCTGCTCCCAGAGGGCCAGGGAGGGGACGGTTTTGGCTTGGAGGGCCATAAGGTGTCTGTTGGAACTACTCATCTCTGCCACTGAGTGAAAGCGGCACACGACCAGGCACGGCCGGCACCAGTGACTCTGTGTGCTAACCACTGGCACAGATGCACCTTGTGTCCAGAGCCTGGCTGGCTCTCATTCACACCTGGCTACAGAGGTCCAAGTGGGATGAAAGTCTTTCCATTGAAAAGACAAGCCACACAGAATGCTGGGCACGGGATTGGCTGTGAGTTGAAAATCAAGACCAGTGTTTGATGGGACACTTCTCTGCCTGTTGATACAGCAGTGCATTGTGCCTGCCTGGGCCACGGGGACAATCCTCCCAGCCTGATATGGCCCTTCCGTAGCCCCTTGGAGTGAGCAGCTGGGTAGGGGTGGGGAGGGAGTGGAGCAGCATGACAACTGTCTTGGCCAAGTCTCAGTCATAGTTCTTTACTCACTGGTAAAGGGTGTTAGGAACCATTATAGCCCCTTAGCCCAGAGGTCTGATCTGCCCGCCCTCCTCCCTAAACTGGGGCCCAAGGAGGCAAGAACCCCTGATCTTTTGGCACAGGAGCCTTGGCCACCCTGCCTGGAACCCGGCCACCTTACCAGAGTCTGGACGCGCTTGAGTTCAGATTCCAATATTCTGCTGTGTTCAACCAAGTTCAACATCTCCTTCATTTTCTTCCTCTTTTTGAAGATGGCAGTTTTCTGCATGCCTGGATTGTAGAGGTCAAGACGGCTGGGCTCCCCCTTCTTTTTCTTCAGTCTCCCACCCGGGGGCAGGGAGGCGGGGCAATCTTCTCCGTCTGCTGGGCTTGCTGCAGGGCCCTCCTCCTGTGGCGGGGGCCAGGCTAGCGTTGGCGGGCTACCATTGACCCAGGGGGCCTTGGGTTTCCTCTTCCTCTTAGGGGCTGGGGCTCCACTGGCAGGGAAAGCTTGGGAGGCAAGTGCCTGACCATGACCATTGCTGAGGCCTCCTTGACGCAAGTCCTCCAGAGGCGACGCTGCTGACTCCAAGGTCAGTCCTTGGAACCGTGGGCTCCGCTTCCTCGCTCGTTTCCTCCTGCTGCGAGTGGGAGGGTGCGAGGGGGGGCGCTCTGAGCCGCTCTGCTCCTGGGGGCTGGGGGCGGCCCCTGCCCCCGGCTCAGCCACACCCGGCTTCTGTGCTCTGCCCGGACCTCCCTCTGGCTCACTGCCCCCATTCTGCAGGGCGGGCACGGCTGCGTTCCCTGACCCTAAGTGTCCATGCCGAAGGTGGTTCTTCTTCTTTTTCCTTTTCCTCTTCTGAACACCGCCTTTCCTCTCTTCTCCCTCAGCCATGAAGAACTCGTTTCCTAGAAGGACAAAAAAGTCAATAAACAGGTGCCCCGCTCCCAAGCAGACAGCAGGGGTCGTTGGGGAATTCTGGGGGAGAGCGGCCCTGGTCCTCGGCACACCTGAGCTCCACTCGCTCCTCCGGCCCCTCTCCTCCCCTTCCCAGCTGTGATCAGACACCTTCCCAATGCCTCTTTCAATGCAGATGGAACTGAAATACACTCAGATTTCCACCGATTTTCAGGCCAGAGGTAAAAGCCACAGACCTGGGGTGGTAATAAAACCAGCGCTTCCCAGGGCAGTGCGTACCTAGCATCTCCAGGTCCTCGGGCACTGTCACCACAGACGCCGCGAGGAGTAAACAAACGCTTTTCGTTTAGGGAACGTGGTGCCCCAGAAAAGTCAAACACGTGGAAACAATCTTTCAGCCATGAAAGCAAAGCTTTCGCTCTGTAATGATTTATGGAGACAGTGGCCAGAGGCCCCCAGGTCGGCAAAGCACCCGCCGCCCCGAGGGCCACCCACCCCGTCTCCTCAGGCCGTGCAGGTCTCAAGCCTTTACCTCACCTTTCCCTTTTTCCACGTCTGGTTTCCCCAAAGGTTTATTTCCTCTTTTCTTATGCCTCCCTTGACTGAAGGTTGGGTCCTCCTCATCAGTAGAAAAGTCCTTGGTAAAACCGAGCCGAGGTATCCCACTTGCTGGGCACCAAAGTCACTGAGTCAGCTCTCTGGGACTCTCGCAGCTGTCCCCGGGGGCCCGGGTGCTACGTCCCCTCCCCACACCATGCAAGTAGACCTGTAACCTCGATTTTTGCCTCTTCATCATTGCTCCTCAGAGCAATGGACTACCTCTCCAGTCCAAACTGCATAGCTACTGAACACAGGAACTTCAGACTTAGAACAACCTTGTGGCCTCCTCCCTCAAGGCAAGGGGCTGTAAACCTCGGGTGGCGGTGGTCTCTAGCTCAACCCTGGGGCTTGGCTCTGCTGCCTCCACCAGGTCTGTGCACCCCAGTTCTCAGCACCCCCAGAGGTCCAAGGGACAGGTGCAGTGTACCACCAGTTTGCTCAAATGCAACGAAGTTTACAGAAAGCAACTCTTCCCCACAGGACGAGTGATCTGAGCAGTCAACAGAATTTTGGGCCCCTGAGAGACTGACTGTTCTTCATAAAGGGGCAAAGTGACACTGGGGTGGACCAATGGATATCCCTCTTGTTGAAATAACCCCCAACCCCCAATGCTCTCCAGGCTCCCCCTGCTCTGGCAGCCCTACTGTCTGGCTCAGCTTGGTCCCTGGGATGGGAGAGTGGGCGGGCAATATTTAAAATAAAACCCGCACTGGTTCTTCTAAGGGCTTCTCTCAGCTGTGCCTACAAGTAGTATAACTGACAACCTTTCAAAGGTAGAGGCCTCTGCTAGTTCTCACGTTCTCAATCTTGCATTTTACTATTTGGCACAAATGCGCTTGGTAAGGTCCGTATTTAGGTAAGAACGTCAGTGCTAATCTTCTGACTTCCTCACCTTCTGAGAGATCCTGGAATCTGAAAGAGAAAACAACGGAGGTTCACTAAGAAATCCCTTCTTTCTGTCTTCAGTAAACACAGGCACAAAACTTGCAACAATGCGGTATCTGTAAGTCACTTTGTCCCCTAGGAGGACAGGCCAAGGAGGCGGTGGGACACAAAGGCCAAAAACAAAGGACAAGCCCACTCTCAGTTGTCCTTCTTGCTCCTTAAGGCCGAAACAGCTTAGATCTCCGCCCCTACGGAGCCCTCCTGTTAGTTCACCAGGTGGAGAGATGCCAAGTAGTATTTGGTCTGTGAGATTTCGGTTCGTGAGAACACAAAGGAAGCGTGCAGGGCTGTGTGGACCCGGGGGCGGAGCCCTGGGCCAGAGGGCAGAAGTGTGCGACCTGCCCTGTCTGGCAGCAGTGACTTTGGGCAACTGGGCAATGGCAGCGAGGACCCCGTGCCCGAGTTAACCTGTGGGTCGAACGAGAAGTTTACAAAAGCCATCTTATAGAGCTTTTCTTTTTTCTTTTTTTAAGATTTTATTTATTTATCTTTAGAGGAGAAGGGAAGGAGAGAGGGAGAGAAATATCAATGTGTGGTTGCCTCTCGTGGGTCCCCTACTGGGAACTGGCCTGCAACCCAAGCATGTGCCCTGACTGGGAATTGAACCTCAATCCTCCGGTTCGCAGGCCTGCGCTCAATCCACTGAGCTACACCAGCCAGGGCAGGGCTTTTCTTAACATGAACTAATTTAAGTGCCCAGAGCAATGCCTGCTCACGTGGAGAGCCATCAAACTCAACTGTTGTATGTCATTGATCGTAACACACCACTGGGCTCTGCAGTGAATTACTGGTACAGTCATAACGACATCAACGACAACCTTAGCACAACCACAGTGAGGGGGGAGGGACAGGGCGCAAAGCCCCACCCCAACCCACCCGTGGCAGCAGGTTACCACCGCAGCAGCACCTTCACATGCAGTCTCTGAGTCTACTCAGCTCAGACGTCACCAGCAGACTTTTGTCCACATCACCGTGACACAGCTACGAGAGATGAGTATGGCTGCATGTGACGAGCAGGACCGGGATGGGGTGGGGGTGGGGGGGCGGGCGGCCGTTGTCGCTGAACATTGCAGTTTATGTGTATGTGTGTGTGTGTGTGTGTGTGTGTGTGTGTGCGTGCTATAAATAAAAAAGTAAGTGGTGACAGCGTGAGATAAATGAAAGGGCTGGACTTGAATGTGAATGAGAATCAAGTGACATCCGCTCAATTAATACATACTTCTTGATTAGCTTGGAGAGACGTTTCCTGTTGAAGGGAGGGATATTTTTCCTGTTGGTCATTTCTAGGAGTCGGTCAGCAATGGCCTTATAGTCAAACTAGGAGAGAAAGAAAAGTAACATAAACCCATAGTGACCTGACTCGGAAACGCACACCCACTAGTGACAGGACACGCGCAACATGGGGCTCTGGAAGCTCCCAAGGAGGACCACCTGGACAGGCACACACTCACACCTAGCAACCAGAGGCTTAAGGAAGACCTTCGAAAAACTTGTTCTATTTCTTCTCGGAAGAAGGTAGCTGTAATTCTTCTTTCTCTTCTAATTTGCACTTGGTAACATAGTAAACTTTATTTGAAAAGCAGTGCTGAGCTGACTTTGCTGAATGGAATAGAACCGACCTTAGCCATTCAAACCAAAATGAAGACTGACGTCTTTCAAAACCCATCATATTTAAATTTGTCTCCAATAAGCTTATTATGAAGAAGGTGACATCAGTGAATGGAGGGATGAAAAGGACTTTACGCACTAGGCCTTAGAGTTCAGTTAGCTCTGACCCTAATTCCCAATTAGTCAGGCCACTCCCCAGAAACTCTGTCTTCTATGGAAAGCAACAACTGCCACCAACCTGGAGAAGCGGCCCAGTGTCCTCCACGCTGCCGCCGCCGTCTCCCGCGCCTTCACCGCCGACTCCGTCCTTCCTGGAGTAGCATTTACCCAGTGCTATCAAAACACAGCCACAGACAAAGTTCCTCAGTTACTCGGCAGTGACTACTTCGGAAGGAACCACTGTCTAATTAGGCGTCTACGAGTCAAAAGAACAATTTCCTTGAAGAGAAAAACCCCACAAATACATTTATAATTTCCCAAAGACGTTTTGGTTTGTCGGCCCCTGGACATGGACACGCCTCTGGGAGCAACCACAAATTCCATCTTTTCAGTCCATCCCAGACAAGCGGTGGCCCTCCACGCTGCTGAACGCTCGGCCTCCCCGCCAGACAGCGGGGGGTGGGGGGGTAGGGCGGGTGGCGCGCGGCCCCTGGCTCAGGCACAGCGGGCTCTGGCCTGTGAGCGGGGAGCAGACTCAGGAGCCCACGCCCACCTTCAGGGTGGTCTGTGCGGTAGACAAAATCCGTACCGTGGTACACTAAGGGCACGGGGCTGCCTCAGGAAACACAATGTATCAAAGCAAAATTCACATTAAATGAGTAATTCAAAGAATTATTGACAACTCAACTTTTCAAACTTGCACTGTTTTCGATTCCTATCTGCTCGGGGTTTTAGTTAACCTGTCACCTGTGGGGAATTTAAAATTAAAATGTTTCTTCTTTCCCTTTTTGTTTCGTTCCCGATTAAAAAAATAATGTATGATCAATGTATAAAATTTAGGAAAACAAACAAAAGCACAAAACAAACAGAAGCTACTCACAACTCTGTCATGTAGGACTATTATATACTCCAAGATCATTTAGGGCACACGTAAATGTGAAATCAGCCCCGGCCGGGTGGCTCACTTAGTTGGAGCATCGTCCTCTGCACCAAAAGGCTGCAGGTTTGATTCCCAGTCAGGGCACATACCTAGGTTGCGGGTTTGATCCCCAGTCGGGGTGCGTACAGGAGGCACTGATCAGTGTTTCTCTCTCTCTCTCTGAAATCAGTAAGAACGTATCCTTGGGTAAGGATTAAAGTTAAAAAATCAGGCTCTTTCCACATTGAGTTCTGTGTCCTGATTACAAAGACATTAAATTTCCTGTGGTCACTGGTTTTTAAAAACTCTGCTTTTCAACGGCCTCGTAACATTTCGAAAGCGCAGGTATGCCCCGACCGGTTTTCGCAGCTGCACACCGAGATGCTGTGAACCACCGTCAGAGCTCTGATGGGCCACGACTTCAACGCACACTCTTGACGTGACCACAGGGACACAGCAGTGGTGAGAATGGTGAGAGCTCACAGCTGGCCTCAAGACAAAGAAGCTGAGGGAACGTGGAGATCAGAAAGGCCACAGAAACCAGGGCACGCATACGACAGAACTGCGCTGGGTCTCCCATCCGGGACCCTCTGCAGATTGCAGGCCACATCAGGGAGTTTAAATACAACCAAATCACCGAGACAACAAAAACAACACCCAGAGCAACAGCAACCATGGGAAAACCCTCAGAGAACGGCCCTCCATCCTGGGGGGTAACAGAATCACGCGCGCGAGGCACAGGGTCTCCCCCAGAGCAGGTACAGGGGTTTCAGACATGCACCCGCTTCCTGTCTCGGGTGGTGTCCAGGGCACCCGACAAACTCTGGGATGTAGGCAGTGAGACCCCAGCCGATATATCAAAAAGTGTTTGTTTGATGAGGACTTTACCTAAAAAAGAGAGAGACTACTCGAGGAAATTCTCTCACCTGTCTTCCGTTTCCTGAATGTTCCTCTCCACGTCACCTCCTCTCCGGCTCTCTCTCCTTCAGAGAGGTGGCCGTCGCCCACTTTAGTGTGCAGTTCCTCCACTGCCGCTTCAGGTACAAAAGGAGACTGATCTACAATGACTTCAAAAACACCCCTAGCTATAGTCTGCACCAGTGCATGGCTGAGGGGGAAGCACAGCAAAGAGGATGTGATTAAAACCAGTGGTCTGGACCTCGCTTCTGAAGGAGGACAGAGTGACAAGGAGGGCCGCTGCGCCTCCAGCTCCGGCCTACCCAGGACCCGGTGTGACCGGTCAGCTGCTCAGCGAGCACTTGTACTTTTACATACACTTCTGTGCTAACCAACTGTGGCTGCAAGAAGCCAGCCAGGGGCTCTGTGCTGGAAGCAGTGGGATGGACAGACAGCAGACTGAACTTTGGGTGGGGGAGGGTGTGATTCTTGGGATGACTGGGTCAAACAGTAAAGCTAGAAGAGCTGGATTATGACTCAAAGCTTCAAACATCCTTTCATTGGGAATTACGCATTCAGTGGTTCTTAGCTTTGGACAACCATCCGGCTACCCTGTGTCGTGCTGCACGACACAAAACAACCCCCCCCCCGCCCCCAATTCAGCACCAACTGCAGGAATAAACACATGTGAATCACTTACTCCTTAGTCTTGGCAGCAATTCTGCAGAATGGATCAATAAACTTGAGATTCTGATCTGCCAAAAGCTGTAATTTAGAAATAAAACAGGCAAAAAAAATAAATAAATAAAGGAAATAAGAACCTTTCCTCCTTTCTGATGTGTCTTTGGAAAAGGAACCACCTGTTTTTTCTCACGGGCTGAATCGGACTGAGCGACACTGACGATGCCCAAATGCACGGTGCGTGGGCTGCCCAGGCGCTAGAGCCAGGCACTGGAGCCAGGCGCTAGAGCCACGGCCCTCCTCCAGCTGCCTGGGCACCTCAGCAGGGCAACAGCAGAGCGCCGCCCAGCGCAGTCAGCGCTGCTCCATGCTGCCTCCTCGACACTGCAGCTCTGTGTAAATACCATCAGAGACTGCGGTAAGGGATTATTTTTTAAATAAAAGGTACATACTTTAATTTTTAAAAATCCCTGTTCACTGCAGAATGCTTGTGAAAAAGAAAAAAGTAAAAATTGCTCACAATCCCAAATCCAGATAAGCACTTGCATGCTGAAGAATGTTTCCTTTCTGGCCCTTGGTCCCCGCCACCCCAGCTCCCAGGAGCACTGGAAGGACGGCCAGAGCCCCGGTTGGGTCAGCCGTGGGCTCCGCTGGCAGGTGTCGGGCTGTTTCTCACCTCTTTTCCTCCTACTTTGGACAGTTCATCCAGATAAATGTCAATGAAGTGGAATTTCACTGCATCGGGAGACTGACTCTCAGGGTGCAAGACTTCCTTCATCAAGACATCGAGAAGAAGCTGGACCCGGCTAAAGAAAACACATGGGACTGTTAGTGCGACACGCCCCCCCCCCCCCCCCGAGAAGACACAGCCCTCAGTCTCATGCTGCACCACAGTGCCAGCCACGTGAGGCTGAGAGAGTCTTACAGGGGAAAATGCAATGACTAAGGTCAGTACAAAACAAGGACTGGCCTGTGCACTCAACCCTTTTATGCAAAAGGTCCTTAAGGGGAAGAGGATTCTGCTTTTCTTGGCACTCGGCAGAGTGGAAGACCCGGACTGGGCAATCCACACTTGCTGGTTAACTGAGAGGCTTGAAAACACACTACTCCTTTAAAAGTTTTCAGCCAACGCGCAGTAGCCCAAACAGTGTGCTGACCTTTCTTCCCAGCCGGTCTGCTTCAGAACTTCAAAGCACTCTCTCAGGACCAGACGGATCAGCTAAAGACAGACAACTTGTGTGAGAATGATTGATCAGCTCAGCGGAAGGAGGCCAACGACTTGGGCGGAGCCTGGATCCCCAAATGAAGAAACAGCCACAGTAATCATGCTTAACTTCTGGAACGTAAGAGGTTAACTGAAGAGCCCCAGACTCACTCCCAGCAGCTAAAAGGGACAAGACAGAGGGCCCTGCACACAGGTTCAAAGCCCTTTAACGTTCACACGGTCCTGTCACCTCGGCAAGCCTAGAACTTACTCTGCTTCACAGACAAACCTTCCCACTGTGCTTAGGGTGCTGGGCGTTCTCTCTCCCTCACACGAGCCTTCGCAGTAACTGGGATGAGGGCCCGCCGATCTCACCATGTAGAACCTGTCCAGGCGCAGCCTGTCAATCCCCGTCCACTCTCGGTTCATGGTCTGCCAGAAGGTCCGAAGGAACAGGCGCTCTGCAGTGAACAAAAGGCTCTGAACGCTCGGCTTTCGGGCCAACAGGTGACCGCGTAGCACAGAAGCAACGATGAGAAACAAACCAGGACCACTCAGGATTTACTATCTCGAGAATTCTTGGATTGCTAGAAAATTTGGTTAATCATTAAACACCTTCAATAATCCTATTTACATTTAACTAAAAGCGTATGTAGTATGGGAAGGCAGGTAATCTCTTTTGGAAAAAAAATTTTTAATCCTCACCCAAGGACATGCTTAATGATTTCAGAGATAGGGGAAGGGAGGAAGAGAAAGGGAGAGAAACATCGATGTGAAAGAAACATCAGTGGGTTGCCTCTCACATGGACTGGGGACTAAACCCGCAGCCTAGGTATGTACCCTGACCAGGGATCGAACCTGCGACCCTCTGGTTCATGGAAAGATGCCCCAACCAAACTAGCTACACTGGCCAGAACGAGACTGGTAACATCTCAACACCCAACTGGAATGCTCTCTGGAACATTTTTCTTAATCCGAAGAAAGCCGTGTTTCTAAACCAAAAGATCTTTGGAGCCATGTCTATCAGTCTTTTCCATCCGCCTACAGCTAACAATCCAAAGCTGGTCATTTTGATGGACACTTGGATGACCCATGTGGACACTCAGCATTTTGTTTCATGTTTAGTGTCGGCTGGGTGAGCTATATAATGAAACATTCTATTTTTCTCTTCTGAGCCATGCAACTAGCACTGTTTTGTCCAGAAAAATTTTTGATTTTTCTTGCTTCACTTCTTTTTGCACAAAGCTTTCTTGATAGGTGAAAATACTATATTATATTCCACGTGTAGAATTTTGTTCGTTACACGTCAGCTGAGACTCAGCTAAGATTCAGGGAACCAGGGAGGGTTATGAAGGCCACTGGGATGTTCTGTCCTCCGGAGTGGTGAGCAGAATGAACTCATTCTGCTGTCTCTTTCATCCTCTGAAAGTGATCAATGCCTGAATGTCCCAGAAGTAGTGTCTCCTTTTGTTTATTCTTCTTGATAAAGGGGGGTTACTTTACAATTTATTACCACTGACAACTTAAATGGCCCTAGTTTGAGGATAAACCTGGCACCTGGAGGTCACTGCACACACTGGCAATGCAGAGACAGCTTCCAGGAGTGTTAAAGTGACTCAGAATTTGGAGATTCTGGAGAATTACTATTTAAAACATTTTTGGGTCTCTTTGAGATGGCCAGTGTGGTAGTCTGCAAGAAACCAGTCCCCCGTCAGGGTCAATACCCAAGTTTACCACAGTTCCCGCCCGTGGAAAAGTGTGTCACCTGACACCCGCACGCTGGAAACCCCGGGTTCATGTTAAATTCGGCCACTCAAGAGGTGGAAACTTGGAAAAAGGGTGAAGAAATAATATGGACTAGATACCCTAGGCAAGTTCCCAAATCTGAAAAACGAGGAAGTTTTGAAAGTCACAAAAACATCAGGACTTACGGGCCTCTGGGTTGTTCACAGCATGGACGAGCTGGGAGATCGTGTTGGCTAGCTCCTCCTGCAAAGGCGGGGTGCGGAAGACACTGGGGTTACCACAGGGCCACACTGAGGTGACGGCGCACGGTCAGCACCTGCTCCCGCACCTGCTAGGCGGAAGGGTGGGTGGCAGCCTGTACCACTGTTTTCAACGTCACTCTCACTACGGAGTGTGCAGGTGGATTTTATTGAAATTCATACAAATGTGACACACCCAATTTCACAGGACTGCTGTGCCAATGTCCTACGCCTCTGAGATTTGTTTAAGCTGCATGTTTGAAAGAGTGCCTCTAGCTATCTGTTCAAATCATCCATAGAAGAACTAACTTAGCTGTCAATTCCTGGCTTTGAAACTGTGTTAAAGCTTAAATAGAAATGCTTATCCTGACCCCCCAGTAACAGAAGCGCAGATGCCCCGGAAGCGGGTGCTGCCGCAGCGAGACCCCAGACCGCCCTCCACTTTGCTTTTGCACATTGTAACAAAGCTCCTCGGTGAAAGTCATTTCCTAAGTAGTTGTGGCGGGGGCACCCAGTGTGCTTGTCGGCGGTCCAGATCACACGCACACCTGTGCTGGGTCCCCGCTGCTTCAATGGTGGGGGCGTCACATGGGGAGCTGCTAATGGCTCTGTGAAGACCCTGACCCCAGGGAGGTGGCTGTCCAGCTCTGGGCACCCCCTTAATCTGCGGCAGCGGTTTGCCTGGAGTCCCGGCCACTCAGAGGTTCTTAGACTAGTGGTACAACAATGACATTTTTGACCACGAATAACAGGAAGCCAACAAAAACTTTAAGTAATGTAAAACCTACTATAGAACTATGAAACTATGGCAGAGAAATAATAAGTCTGTAATGTATGTGCATTCTTTGTTATTTGAAAAGATAATTAACCTCAATGCTTAGACACTGCATCCCCTTCTATACAACAGGCGACAGGGGATCCTTGAAGCAATGCTTCTCGGTGTGGCACATTAGGGGACTGGCACAGCAAGTCTCTCTCGTCTCCGTGTGCCACAGACCCAGTAACACCAGTAACAGGGCAGAGGGAGGTGCGTGTCACCTGCAGAGGGGGCTCGTCCTGCACCCACATGCAATAGAAGAGTCCTTTCCATATTTTTAGAAGTTCTTCTTGACTGAAACCTCCTAGAGGGCAAAACAACACAAACATCTTAGTTCAGAGCCCTCACATTTCCCTTCTTAAAGTACAGAACTGCCGGCATGCGCAGTGAGAATAACACCACATACATTTTCATCTGCACAGGTCTTTTTTGTTTGAAGCACACATTTCCCCATTGTTACCAAACAAATACATATTAATTATGCAGTTTTATCACCTATGGAGGCAGAGTGGTAGTGATGGCATGTCATTATTCCAGTAATGTAAGGAAGCAAACGTCATCACAACAAAAAAGTTAATTAATGGAGTGTTCATTCATGAGTTCCCAAGGTGCCCCTCTGCTTCAACTGCCATTTCACCCTGCACAGCGACATTTTCGCTGGTCATGCAAAGTAAAAATGTAAATCCTACAAAAGGTGCAAGATTTCCCTGAATCTCACACAGCTGGCACCAGAGGAAGCGGCAAAGCTTTGGGGTATTTTTACTAAGATGACCCTTTTAAGGGTCCTGCTGGGAGGTCACACTTGGCCCCACCCTGATCTCTGCCGCTCCTGTTCATAGTTTTCATTCACGGGCCAATTTCCGTCTTGTGTTAACTGGTGCCACCGTGGTTGGCCTTGCTCTCATTATGTGAGACCCCCCACCCCCCATCTCTGTACCACCTGCAACCAAGCCGCAAGGTGTGCACAGTCTTTTACCTGCCGGGTCAACCCCAGGTGTCACGGAGTAACTGCTGAGTGACATAAGCAATCACAGAGTCAGGAAAATGGAAACTTCTGGAGTTCCCAAGCCTGTGGAGAATTAACCAAACCCTCGAGTCTTAACGTATCTTACAAATGGTCTTTATTAATACAGCACTAGCAGGTACTGAGAAGTGTCTTCAGGAGCAGCAAACTGTGGTTGATTGGTAAATGTAACAAGGATGTATTTGGAATCAACGTGATTTCAATACTCCAGAAGATAATTAAGAAGTGACAAAAAAAAAAGTGACAAATATCCTTTTGATGGACTGAATGAAGTTTAATTAGTGCATTCCGAGGGAAATTTTAGCTGTATGGGTGTTGATTTCCAAGTTACTAAAAAGTTTTCTTAGAATGACAATTTTGTGGAGGTGCATTTTCTTTTCTGATATTCTTGCTTAAGACCAATATACCAGAAACCATAGTAAAATTAATTTATTAAAGTGCATTTCCTTTAGAGGAATTTGAAATTTGGGCAAGTGATGTGCCACCTGACTTTTCTCTCCTCTTGTTACAAACAAGCCACATCCAGGGCTCTGCCCATTGACGATACAACACAGCTACGTGCGGTGAGAGGGATCGGTTCCACCGGAACTGAGCCTGCTGTGGTTCCGACCACAGAAAGTGTGTCTGGCACGGTAGGAACCCATGCTTATGTTCACTTAACGTTAAGACTAAGGAATTAGTGGACCTGGGCAAGGACCACCGATGGCTGCTAAAACATTAGATTAAAAATTACCGAGAACTTTAAAATGGACAAATCAGACCAACAACACACAAACCCACTGGTCTAGCTCAGTTCACAAAGATCAGCGCCTACTCACTCGATGCCGGATGCGATGCAGTGGGGGAGACACAGCACCACCTGCCAAGTCACCCCACAGATACGAAGACGCCGCTGTGGGGTTCAGAGTGAGCCGCCCAAGACGTGTCTCTGGGCCATGGGACTGCTGAGAGCTGCAGGCAACGGGGACCCCGCAGCCTCCGGAGGAGCTCCTCCTCCTCCCTTCGCCAAGTTGTGTCAGGGACCCTGCTCACTGAACGTCACCAGAAGTCACTTTTCTGACCCGTCCACAGGGCAGGACAAACGACTAATGACCAGACACCTGCTTTCTTATCGTCCTGCAATGGCCTCCTGCGCTCCGAAGCCCCAGGTGCCTGGCGCCCTCCCCAGCTCAGGGTGCCACACGCCCCTATGCTTCATCTTGTCTCCGAACCTCTCCCGTACGGGGGAGTCTCTGACTCTCATGTACATGGGGTTCCCACGTGTACATACATCATAACATTTGGTCATTTTCTCATTACTGTGTCTCGCTTTGATTTACTTATTTGAGCAGCCAAACACTGAAGGGTGGAGGAGAGTTTCCTCCTCCCCTGCACTAACCTGCACCTAACCAGATCTAAATACCAGCACCAGTTTGCAGGAAATGCGGGGGACAGAGGAACCTGTCAAATGAGACCCGAGATGCAGACAGCAAAACCCTAAATGCGGGAAGCTTCACAGGACAAATGACCCAGTTTCTCCAACAACTAAATTGCATGGAAAAGAAAAAGATGGATAAAAACTTTTAGAATATAAGCTCAACAGACGTATCAACCAAATGTAGTAAGTCTTGTTTGAATTCTGATTTGTCATTTAAAAATTATGAAATGATGGGAGAAATTCAACATCTTGAATATTTCATATTAAGAATTTTTTTAAAGGGTGTGATGATGGTACTGTGGTTATGTTAAAAAAGAGTCCTCTTCTAGAGATACATTCTGAGTACCTGGAAATGAAATGAGGTGTCTGAACTTTGCTTAAGGATTTAGGGGGAAGGAGGAAGCAGGCAGATCAGACAAACTGGCCAGGTACCGAAAAATGCTGAAGCTGACTAATGAGGACTACTCCTTAATAAAAAGACCTCCCCCAAGCCCCCAAAAAACTGTATGATATTACCAAAGTGTTATCATGGGCTCTTGTCTTTCTTCTTGTTTGGAAAACTCTTTATAATGAAATTAGAAAAGCACGGACACGGATGAACTGGATTTACATGACACGATTTTCTGCATCAGGCTTGGTACTGAGCATTCCTTGTTCTTGCTGGGCAGCTACACCTTTTGGGGAAAAGGTGTAGCCCCTCCAGCCCCTCCAGGGCTGCCCACTATTAAGGCAGGGCCCGTGGAAGGAGGCAGTAGTTTGGGCTGGACTCATCCACAGAGAGGCAAAGTGCACTGAGCTTATGCCAAACCAGCATGAATTCCTCTGGCCACAGGACTGGTTCAAGAATGGAATCCCCACTGACAAAGATCCCCCTGCTCAGGCTTTGGGAAAATCTCCAGTCCTCTCCTAGTTGATTTAAAAGAAGACACAGTTTGGACCCGCGCTCAGCCATCTTGCCACATGATGGGGAGCCTGAGAATGAAACCAATCTGGGGGCAGCAGAGTTTGCTGTAGAGAAAAACTGGGTCTGTGTCTTTAGTTGGCCTTTGAATGAAAGCTGTTTCAGTTTTCTCCCCTTAAACCTCGGGTGGCTTGGATGTTTTGTCAAGTTATAATCGCCAGAGTCCTAACCAATGAAAATGTTTTCATTGCAAAAATTCATGTACTACCAATTACACAACCATAGATGCTTGTTCACTGACTCCCAAACCTCAGTCTCCTCCAGAGGGACCACTGTTATCTACTGATGTGTATCTTTCCAGATCTTCCCTATGCATTTACTGACATGTGATACAAAAGTACATGGTTGTGCACGTGTGAGAGACCTAAACAGCATCACATGTTCTACATATTCTGTGCTCTGGCCCTGTTCACTTAAAAATAACACAGTGTATCTCCAGATGGCCCTTCCAAGTGCACCAGAATCTCAAACAAATGCTAAGTGATCATTTGTCTCTCTGAACAACCCATACCTTCAAGGGGTGAAGGTACAAGATGATGTACCACGTTTCTGTAATTGAAAACAGATTTCGACAAAGTAACCTTGATGAACAGACCCTAGACAGTGGGCAGGAAACTGGAGCTGGAGCGTGAGAGGCAACAAAGTAGTACAACGGAAACAAACCCTTGGTCAGACCTCAGCTTGCTACTTACTAGCTGCACAGTGTTACAGTTGCATTGTAGTGGGGTTACTGGGCTGTAGCTAGCCTTGTCAGCTGTCCTGTTTCCTCACCTTGACATACAGGGTCTGGCAGAAGTAAATCCTGCTTGAGTGTGGTTGGTAGGGTAATCACATGCATGTAATAATTTATAGTTTAATTTTAACATTTCACCTAAAATGTCACAGGCTCTGCCTGAGTGTGATATTGTTATGTTAACGAATTACATGCTTCTGATTTTGTAATAAAAAAGGAGCATTATTTGTGCTGGACCCTGTATATAATGTTTATGATCCAGGCCAAAATTAAGAGCAAGCATGAGAAGCTTTTTGTAAAAGCAAAGCACTGTTCGATTTGCAGGTGTTAGGATGGTTTCACATTTGCTACCCACAAGCTGTTGGAGTTCTCCTTTCATTTAAAATACCTATTTTCAACATAAGTATAAAACCACTTGTTTTCACCCAGGAAATTAGCTGGTAAAAACAAGGTACCAATTTTTGGAGCATTTAAAGCAAAACAGAGAAATGTTCATTATTTAATTTCTTGCAAAACTCTGAAGGTGAAGTATTGGGTTGGCCAAAAAGTCCATATGATTTTTCCATAAAATAAAAGACATTTTTCATTTTCACCGATAACTTTATTGTGGATATTTTGAAGATGTCGGCTATCTCCCATGTGGTATAATGTTGACTGTTCTCAATTTGATTGCTACCTACTTCAAATGGTCTACCCAAGCATGAAGCATCGTGCTATGAGAAATCTCTAGCACAAAACCTCGCTAACCACTTTTGACATATTTGATCGGCCACAGGATCTTCTCCATACACCACACAAATCTTTTTTTGTGTTTCAGTTGCCTTTTTACCTTTCTTGAAATAATTAGCATAATATGCCAAAAAGTTGCATATTTTCTTCCATCTTTAATATTAAAATGGCTATACAAAAATTCACCAATTTTGATGTTTTTGTTTTAAATGCATGCTGATATGACAGCTGTCACAATCCAATCTAACAAAATTATTTCAAATGAGGTTAAAGACAACTAACTAAGCACTACTAGGTCCACCTTATGGAAAAAAAAATCAAATGAACTTTTTGTCCAACCCAATAATGATCCAAAGCAGTTTTGTTTCACAACTGCTTCTTGGCCTGCTGAGACTCTTAATACAACTAAGTTTCTGACGACAATATAGGTTTAGTTAGTTTCAAATAACTGAGATGAAATGAAAGTGAGCTGTGGATATAGGAAATAGCAAGCTTTGAAATGAGAAAATCCAAGAGCCCGCCTCACCACAAATGAGCACAGGAGCCGTCTCTCAGGTGGGGGTGAAGTGATATGTTGAAACCCACACCTGTTCAGAACAGGTGTTGCTCCCAGTCATTACCACCACTGGGGCGAGAGACCCCCTAAAACTATCAGCATGGGAAATACTCATCTCTCCCATTACCGCCACACACCTGACACCAACCAACTGTAAGGTGCACTGATACTGAGTGTGCCACCAAGAGAAACCAAGAATGCAAATCGGAGTTGCAGAACTGATAAAACAGGTGGGGGGTTTTGTCTGTTTTGTTCATGGCTGCATTACCAGTGCCAAGAATAGTGTACACAGTAATAAAGCACACAGTCAGCACTCCCTTCATATTAGCCACATACAAGAATGAGTAAGTGAAGACGGATGAGCCCTCCCGAGCAAAACCACAGACGGTGATCACTCTGTGGCTGGGAATATACAACATGATCTGGTAAAGCACTAGGGCAACCTTTAGGTGCCTTAAGCAGTACAAAGACTTCTAATCTGTTTTTAAAACCACAAAGCTATGCTGCTGGTGGAGAGTTTACGTATCTGTAAGAGTAAAGTCTCAGATTCTCTTTATTATACCAAGACAGGATGCAAAAAAAAAAAAAAAAAACCAACCAAACAAAAAAACACCTGAACCTGTCAATAAGATTTAAATGTTAGGTGATTATTCCAAACTTGTCTTTCTACTTCAATGGAGCACAGCTGTGGCAAAGACCATCTTTATTTTGCCCCATCATCACTGTCTACAAAATTCACTTTGCAGTTAGTTTTTCAAAGGCCCACTATACTCTGTGTGACACGGATGCAGCATCAAACAAGAGGCAGTGGACGAGTGACTCTGGGTGCGATGGGTGCCAACCAGACAAAACCCTGGGCACTGATGCAAACCCACAGCCTCATGCTCCTGACTCAGCATCTCAGGTCCTGGATGTGCGCACCAAAGGCTGTGAGCATCAGGCTCTTGCTCAGCCCCACATGCACTGCATCTGGCCTCTCTCCTGTTCTTGTACACGGCCAGGCCCTTGTGTGCCTGGGTGTGCCCCCGCTTGCAGCTAAGAAAACAGACGAAGCTTACCATGTTTGGGGGGAAGAGTTACAAACACATTAACAGAAAATCAAGAAGCAATGTGGCTAAGCGTTACAACAGAGATAAACTGGGTATTACAGAACCCTAGGGGAGTTGGGGTGAGGTGAGGAAAGTGATACTCAATACTGGGAGTGGATCGAGGGTGGGAATTTTTTAGGCGTGTGCTGGAGAAGCAAAGGCAGAGAGGTGAGAGGTGGGGTGTTGGCCACCAAGACCCAGGAATGGTCTGCTGCTTATGGAGCACGAAGCAGTCACATTGGGGAGGGGGTGGGAGAGGGGAGGAGAGACCACCTGCAGACCTGGATTACCAGGAAGGTGGTGGTGTGTTTTAGGAAGATGACTCTGAGCTGGTTTGTGGAGGATGGGCTCAAGGTTAGATAGGGTAAAGACAACCACCAGAAAAGAGTAATTCAGGAGATGAAACAGGTAAGACCAAGGGACATTGGATGAGCGGTGGGGGAAGCAGAGAGGAATCTGGGAGTGCAATACCATGCACCCAGCCAGTCTGAGTGGATGGTGGGAACAGAATCAGAGAGCACGGGTGGCAGATGGGCAGTGGAAGGGAACAGGTTACAGGGAGAAGGAAATGAGTCCCCTTAAGGCATTCTGAGTCTGAAACTCCTGTGGGACACCCAGGTGGAGATGCCAGGTGAGCAGGGCGTCACTGAGCTGAAGTAGCAAAGGCCTGGGCTAGAAATTTAGGTTTAAGAGCCTTCGATGTATCTGGGATACCTGAAACCATGAGAGTCAATTCAGTCTGTCAGAGAGATCCTCACAAAATTAAGTCAGGAATTTTGGTCTTCATTCCTCTTTCTAACAGACTTCCCATGAAACTGTTTTTTTTTTTTTTTCCCTGGGTGGCCCCTTGTGACTTCTCTTCTAGGCTTGTACAATGCCAGTACAGGGGAGATAACATCTATTCTTTCAAGTAGACCCTGAATATATTAGTAAATAAACCAAACTTTTAGTGCAGTAGAAAAACCTCCATTTGATATTGTAGCGCACACCTCGGGGGTCGGGGGGGGCATAAGGATCTATAGGACATTTTGCATCAGGTGAACAAAATCCTTCAAGAGCACCCACTGCAGTTAAAATCCAGCTACAACCCTTAACGTGACCCTGCCTCACCCTCCCTGACTTACAGGTCTCTTCTAGCCATTCCTCAAGCTTGCCTCCCTCTCGCCTCTGTTCAGATATAATGAACATCGCCCCGGGGTGGCCTTCCTGGTCCAGCCTACGTAGAGAAGCTCCCTCCTTTCCCGATTTCCATTTCCGTTATAACACTACACAAACTCTGCTATAGCGATCTCCCTTCCCAGCTTTGCGAGCACCAGTTCCCCTAAAGTAGGGATGGTCTTCTCTCCCATAACCCCAGCTCCTAAAGGTATTGGTCAGATGATGGTGTGAATCGATGACCACAGCAGGATGGATCACGTTGAGCCTAGTATTTAAAGTACAGGCGCGGGGTCCGGCAGATCGGGTCAAATCCCAGCTTCCTCACTCACTGTGACCTCCAGCAGACTACCTAACCCCTGTCGGCCTGCCCCTTAAACGTAAAACAAGACTAGACCCAGCAGGAAGCGGTTCCCACGGTGTGAACACACAGAAAAGTAAGCGGCAGGAGCGCGAGCCACAGCTCCGCCGGCGGCTCGGCGCCGGTCCCGCCGCCATGTGGCGCGGCTCATCGCCGGGCGCCCACCTGTCTCCCTCTGAGTCTTCACGCTGATGTACTGGCGCAGCTTCCTCACCGCCCGGTCCCGGATGCCCTTCTCGTGGGACGCCAGACGCTGGGCGAACTGGATCTCGGCCGGCTGCATGGCGGGGCGCTTTGCAGCATCCCTGGCGACAGTCTTCCACCCCTCGACCTCCCGCCGTTCCCGAGCGACTGCCGCCTGGCCGCTCCGGCCGCGACTGCGCGGAGGAGAGTGGCGAAGCGCGGGGTGATGGCGTCACGAAGGCGCCGGCTGCCGCTCGCAGCGCGTTCTGGGAGAGAGAGCGTCGTGCCCTGGCACCTGGCGGAGCAACCCGCTGCTTTGCGCCTTCACGCCTCCGCTGTCTTTCTGCAGCCAGATCTGGGGGCTGTCGCCTGCGAGGCTAGCCAAGCAGGGTTGGCTCCTCGCCTGGAAGAGTCGGATGGCCAATTGTAAATGGCCTGGAATCTTTAAGGTCACACACACACACACACACACACACACACGCACATCCATTTCGTTGGCAGCTGTTCTACAAAATGCACAACACCGAGATTTTTTTGTTGTATTAAACTTCTTGTACCGTCTCCGCAGGTGGACACTGGGAAGAAGGGCTGTTCTTCAGATTCTTGCAGGGATGCTGGGGGTAGCCCCAATGAGAGGCCTCTGCTGCCGTTGCAGGCCGCGCCCCTCCAGCGTCTTGGTCTCGCTTCAAGGGCAGTTCTCGGTGCGCGGGCAGGGCCAGCGGCAGGTTATAGCAGGTGCTGGGGGCTCAGGGCAGGTCCCTGGGGGCAGGGGAACCGCAAGTGCAGGCAGATTCCGGGATGGGGGTGGGCAGGGATTTGAAGCCTGTGCTTAGGACACCACTCTCAGGTCTGGAGAGCACACACTACACTCTGGAGACTTGGTAGTGTCAGCTTCCTGGGGGTTTCAGAAACAGACAAAGTCTTAGTTGTGAAGTGACCCAGTACATTTGAACCCATAGGCTGCACCATATTTTGCGAACTCAGTGGGCCTAGTGGGGCAAGCGAATGGACTAGGTGGCGTCTCCAAACTTACGGTACTCATCTCAGTTATAACCAGCTGGCTAGATGGACGCTCCTGTATCAGGCGCACTTCCTGAGGAGCCTGGAGCCCGAAGTTTTCACCCTTGCTAGGAGTTTAGAGCGAGCGCAGGAGCGTGGCCGCTAGCTGCACAGGTAGCAATTCACTTGAACTCATTGCCCTTTAGCCTAGCATCTCTCGCCAAACAGGAAAGGCCGATTCTATTTACTTCACTTGTCACTTACACCTGGGCCTTGCTGTTCTTCCACTTTGCAGTTAATAAGTTTAAAACCGCAGCTACGCCAGAAGAGCCAAAGCGAAATCCAGCTGATCCCACCCCTCCTCCATAGTGCAGACAATGCAGCTCAAACCCTACGAAGTTTGAGCCTCGCCGCTCTCCATAGCCGCTCCGCTCAGTCCTGACTACGTTCCCGCACTTTCTGGCGTGAGAGGTCAGAGGGCGCGCCACCGCTCAGGCACACGGAGCGGACCCGGGCCGCAAAGGCCATGGATGAGGCAGACGGCGCTGAGGAGGCCTTCGGGGTTAGTGGGGAGGCCCTGGGCCGCTGTCCCATGGTCTGAGCTGCCACCCTCCCTTCCCCGCGCCGGACCGCAGTCTGTGTGCGCCTCGTCCAGTGCACTCGGGGACAGCGTGGCCTGGCTCTGGGGTGCGGGCCGCGCGACCCCGCCTCTGACACGGTGGATGCGGGTCCCGGAGGCCGCGCGGTTGGGCGGTGGGTGCGCGAACGGGAGATGAAGGTGGCTCCCCTCAGACACCCGCAGCCCTCCGTCCCCGGGAGGCCGCGAGTTGTGTGTCGGGGTTTAGTGCAGGCTCAGAGTTGCCCCCACGTCACTTGTGCTGCACGGGGTCGAAGAAGGACCCCGGTTCCGCCCGCTGTTAATGGCGGTACTCTGGGGAAGTTCCCAGCTTCCGGTTTCCGGCTTAGACCACCTTGGAGGGTTGTGGTGAACTCAAATGAGGTGGCCGGCCTTGGCCGCCCAGTAGGAATCATTTCCTCCATCACCTTGGCACTGAGACGTTAAGGGGAAGTTGCTGGCGTTTTCTTCGACTCTCGGGCTTGGGGCCTCGTATGCGCTTAAAGGAATAGCTCCCACTTTGAGAGCTGGGGGTTCAGCTCCGAGAGGTAATATATACAGCAGAGAGCACATTAGGTGAAGCCGTAAGTTTGCATCTAGGAACATAAGAGGCATTAAAAGGAAGCAAGCTGGCGGACTACTGGAGAGACTTGTAATAATCCAAAGATCTTGTTCTGATTTCAGCTCTTGGGAACCAAAGAAGAATTTGTTAAAGTCCGAAAGAAGGACCTGGAACGGCTGACAACGGAAGTGATGCAAATACGGGACTTCTTACCCAGAATACTAAACGGGGAAATGCTGGAAACCTTCCAGAAATTAAAGACTGTGGAGAAAAGTGAGTCTCACTTCATCTTGAGCAGTCACTTGGCGACAGTGGTCTGATCCCGCACCACTGGCTTGACCTGGAAAACAAAAGTACCGTATTTCGCTGTGTTTAATGTGCTCTCGTGCATGTATAATGCACAACCATGTTTTTGGCCCAAACTGTCAGGAAAAAGAAGCTTTCCTTTTAATTTTTTAATTAAATTATTTATTTATATTTAGAAACAAAACCAATTATTCTATTCCAGGGTATTATTTTGCATACACATACCATTATTGCTTTCTAGAGTTACACCTTTAATCATAAGCATAAATAAAATAGTTAAAAACATGTATATAGATATGGGGTTAGTACTACCCATGTGTAATGTACATCCTTAGTTTTCCCTCACAGATTTGGGCAAAAAACATGCACATTACCCACTACAAAATAGGGTAATTGTAAATAAACTTCAAGGTATGGTTGTAGTCCTTAATTATGTTTGGGAGTCAAGTAAGACATAAGAAAAGGAGAGGCTTGAGTGAGTAACTGGGACATATGTAGTTTATTTTGGAGGCAGGGTTGCTAGTTTTCTGAAGTATCTGTTACTAGCTTCTCTTTCTTTCCACCTGTCTTCCTTGGCAGAAGAATTTTGTACTTTGGAGTTGAAACAGATCTGCTCTAAAAATTAAGTCTTTATGGGTGGAATTTAAGGATCTTACCATGGAGTTAAATGTGTCTGCAGAGATGGCTGGATATGTGTTTACTTGCCTCCAGGTTGATGGGTGGGTCAGTTTCTAGCATTGGTTGAAGTTCCAGCTTGCTAGGACTTGGCCATTTAGGTTTTCAGATTTGAGACAAGCCATTGTGTCACAGATCTTTCTAGGAGCCTATTGAAGTTCTTGGGGATACTCAGGATTGATTTAGCACCTGCCTGATAGAGGCTGAGTTACAATTAAATAAAGTTTCAGTGGTTAGGGTTAACTCACCACAGTGCGTGGGGCTGTTCCCCATCACTTTAGGACAGGTGCACCCAGGGGACCTGGGTTGTGTTTCTAGCACTAGTCCAGACTGGAAGATAGCTTCACAGGACAAGTTTCTGGTTTGCACAAACATATTTGGTCTAGGAGTGACCACATCCAGTTAGAGGGGAGAATGTTCATTGTTCTCATAGCTCCCCCCACCCCCTTGCCTTTGTTTTATTCTTTTGTTGAAATCCTCAGATCCACTCTCCTCTGCTCTGCCCTGTGGACTCCTGCAGGCTGCCTGCCTCCAGCTCCCTTGCTGGCTGCCAGCAGGGCTCACCAGTGGAAGGCATCAGTGGGCAGAGAGAGGGATGGGGGCATTTCTGCTTGCCCTCTCCACCGCTGTGACTCTCACCAGGGGCTTCCTCCTCCGTGGTCTGTAAGCCTCCAGCAACGCTGTTTCCTACTCTTTCCTCCCCTCATTCCTTCAGCCGAGGGCTGTTGCCAGTCCCTGAGTGCCCCACCATCTTGTTGGGTCTCTTGTCCTTGCTCTCCCATTAAGTCTCAACATTTGGGTTGATTTGTTTGCCATCAGGACCTTACCACATACGTTCATGTTGCTGGTTCCCATAGCTGCAGGTCATTGATTTCTTAAACTCCCCAGTCTGACGCCAGCTTATCCAGCACCTTCTGAGCATCATCCTGAGTGCATTTATTTTAAGGGAAGGAAAGCGCCAACCAATAGTGAGTATGTCAGTCTGATGGTGGTTAGGGTTCTCACTGCAAATTAGGAAACTGGCATTCTGAAAAGCGCACCGGGGGCTCCTGAGCTGATCAGCATGAGTCGATCTTTGAAGGTCAGTCCTCTGCCCAAATGAAATTGTGCTTATGGAAGCAAGGGTCTCACCGAAGGCAGGCTTTGGGATGTCTTGCCCCGCAGTCCCCGGCCTTCCTCAGACCATGTCGTCGACTTTTCCTCACTGGTCTCTTGACCCATTTCTTCTCAGTCTCCTTTGCTGATTCACCCTCCTCTGCAGCAGCCTGTTGGCCAGTGGAGTTCTTTGAGGCTCAGGCCTGGGCCCACTCTGCCGTCATTCCATGACCGCTCTGTGGGCAATGTTACATACACATGGCTCCAGTGACCATCTTGGTGCCAGCAGCTCCCAGATTCATCTCCAACTCAGACCTCCTCCAGGCACAGGCCCTGCATCTAACTGCTGTGTGGCCTTTCTTCTCACATGTTTGGCAATCATTTCAAGTTCTAAATGTCTGTCCTAGCCTAATCAGTCTATGACCATGAGGAAGGACCTGATCGTCTCACGAGGTCAGGTTTACTGGCTCATCGCAGTGAGGAAGACCACACAGCAGAGGAACTGTGGGCATCTTGCCAACAAAGGAAAGGACAGAGTTACTGTAGGATTTGGGGCAGGGTGGAGTTTAGGTGACACACAGGTGAAGCTGTGTTTTGATGGGCTTCAAGCAAAGTAGGGCTGTGTGTGAAGTGGTCAGCATCAGGTCTGTCTGCGGTGGACCCAGGTTCTGTTTCCTTGGAAACTACAAAGTTAACAGGGATGTGGAACACAGTGTGTAGAAACCCCTGTTTGAACTCTGTAGCTAGCTGGAGAGCAAGGCTGCTGCTCTGGGTCACAGTGGTTTTGATCCCACAGGCGACAGTGGAGTGTTTCCTTCGTACTGGTGTCAGCAGAATTCCCAATAGTGTGGGACTCGACAGGCAAGTTCTAAGTTCTCTCTGAATAAGAAGCCCGCAGTCACTGAAAGGGGGAGTCGTCGTGACACTTCTACAGTTGCACTGTGTCCCTTGGGAGAACTATTACTTCCTGTTAACTTGGCAGCTGGCTTCACCTGTGTGTGTCATCCCAGCTTGACAAATCACAGGACAGTTTCACTCTCTCAGAGCAGGTCGTTTTTTTATCTTTTCACAGGTGACTCATGATATCCATCATCCCCCCATCCCACCCCAAATTGGGCTGCCTGAGACTCCTCAAATTCCCACCCTCCAGACTAGAGACGACCAAGGATTCCCCTTGTTGCCCACCTCTCCTGCTCACTGTTAACCTGTCCACCAGTAAGCCCTGTGCGTTCCCCCCGGGGATGCACCTGACTTTGTGAGTGTGCCTCCACGGCCACGCCGCCACCTGAGTCCTGGCCCCTGTCATTTTACCCCAGTTTCTGCCTCCTGGCAGTGTCCACTCTTTGCCGCTACCCAGTCTGTTCTTTGTACTGTAGCCCAAGTCATTTTTAACAAGTCAGTCTGATTGTGTCATTCTCCTGCCTAAGTCTTCAGTGGCTTCTCCTTGCCCTTAGGGTAAGGACCAAAAACTCGGCAGAACACGGACCAAAACCCACTGCCACCCAACAACCTAAACCAAACACTGCCGTGGCTGGAGAGTTCCATCCTAGCGCCATGAGATGGATTACGGCTCTGCTTGCCCCCGCTGCTGGCACACTGCCGGGCGCCTGCGGCGGGGGAGGATCCCTAATGGCAGCTCCTTCCTCTGCACTTCTCTGGGCTCCGGGATCATGACCCACCCCAGGCCCTGGCTGTCTGACAGCTCCATGCTCTGTGGTTATCTCCCTAGCCCGATGAGACCGTTGCCCACTCTGCTCCGCCCTGCTGCCTCTTTGCCTGTGCTGCTTGAGTATGCGGACGCCCAGGGAAGCGCTGGGGGGAGCCATGCCCGCTCACATCACAGGTTTGGGTCCTTCAGTGTGTGTGACCTGCTAGCTCTCGGGGACCTTCTAATGGCTTTTGTTTAAATTCTGCTTTCTTTTTATTCTCGGTGGGAAGACTGATCTGCTACATCGCTCTCATAGCTAGAAATGGAAGTCCTTCCGTGTAAGTTGTTGTGGTTGTAAAAGTACACTGTAATGTCACACAGAAAGGATAGGCTAAGAGATGTTCCAAATTAAAGGAAGCTAATGGTATGTGACAATGAAATGCAATACCCGACCCTACGGTGGATGCTGCACCTGGAAGGAAGAAAGCACTGTAAAAGGCAATTTTGGGTCATTTGACAAAATCTGGGTGTTGGTTCCAGAGTAGATAAAGGTGCTAATATTAATTTGCCTGGGTTTGACAACCGTGTATATAGTAGGTGTCTAAGACATTTTCTCTATTCTAGGGAAATAGTCATTGAAGTATTTAGGAGTAAAGGGCCTTGATATAAGTGTGTAACTTACCCTCAGGTGACTCCAGAAATATATATTGTGTGTGTGTGTGTTTGGTACAAGTGATGAGCAAGTGTGGTGAAATGTTACGAGTGGATAAGTCTGAGCAAAGGCTCTATGGCTATTTTTTGTTCTTTTTTTTAAATTCATGTAATGTTCTATAAGTTTGAAATTATGTCCAAATGAAAAGTTTAAAAACAAATTGTAAAGTTTAAATATTTACAGAACCGAAAGTATCCTTGCTGTCCTCTTAGGTTCTTAGCAGTGATTTCTGTACCACACGATTTCCGAAGCCTGGGTGATTTGAGATGAAGTTTGCAAGAGTTGGATATTGATGAGAAGAGAGGGGATCTCTCTTTTCGCTCAGGGAAGGATTATTATTTCTGGTCATAGAAATACGAACTAGAGAGAGAGTCATGAAGAGTGGGACAAACGAGGATCAAGAAAAGATTATTTAATTTGACCAAAAGTTACTGCAGCCCAAATGGGTAAGATCAGAGTGTATCACATCCATATCCTGGAAGGAAATAAAAGGGATAAAAAAAGAATGGAAGGAAGGGATGGCAGACCAAGGTATGAGCAGGGTTTCGGGAACCAGCCCCAGGCTAGCATAGGCCCGGGAACTAGAAAGTGGGGTGCCATCACCCCCCAGGGCCTGAAGGAGTGGCAGGAGAGCCACCAGACTCGCAGGAGGGTCGGGGCTCCACAGGACCACGGCCTTCCCCAGAAGGTAAAGTGACTGCTGATGTGATGCATTGGGGGAAGTCAGCGTCCCAACCTCCGTCTCCTGTCCTCGTTGCTGGTGGGGCCGCCACTCTCCAAATCCAACAGGAAGCCATACACAAGGGAAGCTGGTTGCTTTGGCCTTTGACTTAATGC